AGACACACACACACACACACACACACACACACACACACACACACATCCTACAAAGACCAGGTTATTGTGCATTTTCGCATGGATATGCAGGAAGAAATGCAGGGAACAATTAGCCTGAACGATGGTGCCTGTACAATGTAGCCTACCTGAGAGCCAACAACGACGGCGCTGAAGATACCGTAGACAACGTAGCCTGGACTCGAGCTGCTAGGTCGGTACAGGATACAGAACTGCTGTAGACCCAACAGGGGGACCAGGATGACCATGGCGCGCAAGGCTCGTCTGTGAGAAAAGAGAATAATGGCCTTTGCTTTGGGTGATGTCATAGTCATGGGGACACCAAAGAAATGTTAACAGAATCACTTCCCCACTAGGGAATCGAACTGAAGTCTTTTGCTTTGCTCTGAAGAAGAAGAAGAAGAAGAAGAAGAAGAAGAAGAAGAAGAAGAAGAAGAAGAACAACAACAACAACAACAACAACAACAACAACAACAACAACAACAACAATAACAACAACAACAACACGGTTTTAATATAATCTTCTTGAGTCTGAAATTATTTTTAGAATAAAATACCAGTTGACCAGTAAGGCCAGATCCGAGGTAAGCTGGTCTGCAGCTCACATGCACAGGCTGAAGAAAGTCTAAGTAAATGTTAATGTGCGTATGTTGTTGGTTGATTTATGAATTGTATTATATACAGATCCCTAATTGTTCTTTTCGGAATTGTAAGGCCAAGACTTTACTGTGGCACTAACACTAGCCCTGCTCACTAGTCCATGGCCAACAACAGCAAACATCATCACTCCTACCTGAAATGACCTCCGTTCGGGTGAGTCTTCAGCTGTACTAAAAGTGCCCTGAGTATCGTGCCAAGAAACAATACATTCACCTGTAGAGAAACAGCAGATCAGATCCTTGAGTGCACTGGGGTGTATTTTGGGTTTCACGTGAGAAAAGATTGACGAAGAAGAACAAAAACAAGCGATACACCACGTATCTTAAAACCACGTGAACATAGATTTATATTTGATATAAAGAACTTGGTCATATGAAAACACCTTAGGGCTGCCAAGAAATGCCCTCTCCAAAATTAAAAATTAGTCAACTTCTTTTGAGATTTTAAAACAATAAATACGGTAATTAGCAAAATGAGTCCTGTCCCCATAAAAGATGTTCAAAAACAACACAAAAAACACGCACAAAGAAAACGGACATACAGCGATGCAAGCTATCGTTGGCCCGTCCACAATCCATTCTAGTCCACCCGCTGATGTAAGCCAACATGATCTGTGGACATAAAAACAGAGAACATTGCCATTCGTGGAAACTACGTGTCATCTGAGGTACACTTCAAAGCAGCATAGTTTCTTGTGTTTAAATGCTGCAGCTGTTTTTCATGTACATTGTACTACCATATGTTTCTTTGTTGTTGCTGCAGTCATTTTCATCCTCACCATCATCATCATCATCATCATCATCATCATCATCATCATCATCATCATCATCATCCTCATCATCATCATCATTATCATCATCATCATCATCGTCGTCGTCGTCGTCGTCGTTGTCAACTTCATCCTCATCACCAATCACTTTCAATCATCACCATCATCACCTTCATTACCATCGTTAATAATGATATTGTTATTATTATCATTACTATGCTGGCGGTGGCGTGGTTGTTGTGCTTGTTGTTAAATTGGGTATTGTGATAATGACTCAGTAATGTAATGTACACAAACAACACAGTACACAGACAGCCAATGGTATTTGTAGTGAAATCGTTTAGGTACTCTCAACAAAAAATACAATAAGCACTATTCCTGTTTGAGAACGTAATTTCGCCATGTATTTCAGTCTCTCTGTTTTGCCACCCCAAAGAGTGTCAGAGCAGCCCATATCCTAAATGATATAAACTGTACTGATGTAAAACATTTACAGTGATGGAAAGGACAAAGAGAAGATAACGAAGCAGACTAAAGATATCGTGGGTTTTTTTCATAAACTTCTGAACAAAAATGTCCTTTTCTATACTATTGTAAGGGCCAAAGTATTCATTCAATTTTACACATTTAGATTTTAACCCCCCCCCCATGGTGACTGTTCTCGTGTGTTAAGTCCTTTTCCTTACAGGGGGCGGAGATGGTTGTTCAGGACAATCAGCAGACACGGGTACAGTGAAGGCAAGCCCCCCCCCCCCTAAAAAAACAACAACAAACAAACAGAAAGTCCCAATCTGAGATATCATCCCGTGTTGAGTAGATATGTGGAACAGAAACCATTGTGCGTATTCCACAATTTTATCTGGTCGCGACGCTTTCGATAGCATAGAAAATCAATATTTTGAACGATTTCAGCCTTTTTAAGTAAAAATAAAAAACTGGTTTCCGTTCTTTCACTTAGAAGAGAACAAGGCATTAATGCGTAAATCAATGTTAGGATCTAAAAACAAAATAAAACAAAACACAAGTTTGTTTTACTGGCAGTAGGATGACACGTGCGCATGCCCAAATGAATTATAGGCCTAAGGGTAGTACGTGCCTTCCATCAAGAAATAGATCTGATGTCAATAAAATAAACAATATTAGGAACAAAGTAGCTAACTCTGAAAAGATTCAGGTGACTAGATCTATCGTATTTCAGTGCTTTTCCTAACGTTCATAGCCCGAATACAATTGTAGGCCTACTCTATTTGCACAGAAAATACTTCATTCAATTCTTCTGATTTTGAACTTTTAAAAAATCAGCACCAGAAGAAAAAAAAGCATCTTCAACAGCAAGATCTAAGGAACAAATTAAAATAGAAAATTCAAATCCCTTCTCAACAAAGTTAAATTATGTTTTTGCAATCGATGATGAATGGCAACAAGAGTAATATTTGTACCCTCATCGAGGAGGGGAACATAATTTGAATTCAACGGTTGAGTGAATAGTAAAGTTTGGGTTAGCAAATGAAGTTACCTCTGTGTTAAAGAAGCAGAAAATGAGGCTCACCAGCGCCCCCTGAAAAGAAACAGTAAAACAGGAAACGCATCAAAATGAATCTTTTTCTTATACACAACCAAAAAAGGGATGAGGGGTGGGG